CACAGGACGAAAAGTGGGATTTTTGACCCTGTATTCTGACGCAAACTCAGCTCATCAGCGACAGATATCGTCAGCAATCGACAGTCTACGTTTTCAGTCACGGGAGTCGAATTCTGTCGAATGCGGAATCCTTGGAGGGGGAGAGTGGCAGTGCGGGGCAGCGGGCGGGCGGGAGGTGTTAACAACTCTACTTAGCATACGAATAGCCTAGCATATGCAAAGGCGCTTCAGCAGACCCATGTGGATTCTCAGTCATTGGATGGAAAAACAATGACATCACAGTTCATCATTGACATGTAATTGGTTGGTTGATGTGTGCCCATTGGACAGCACTTATGCCTTTATAAATAAACCCTGCCCCAATCATTAATATTTTTAATGCTGTATTTTTAAAAAATCTATATAAAAAATAAATGCTGTATTAAAATATATTCATTTGATATTGCTTATATGCAACATTTTCATATATGAGGAACATAAAAGAGACAAAGAAGTTGTTTTTTTTCTTTATTTCATTTTATTTGTTTTTACTGTTTGCACACAAAATAAGACATAAACGCTTGTCCATTTCTGGACTATCTGGCAGTGTTTTTTTGTCCAAACATGATCAAACATTATGCTGCGTTCAGGACAGGCCCAACATCTCTCCTGTAGCATAGAGCTGACGTCTCTTCCTGTCTTGTAGACCTGACGTCACTGAGCTCCTGGTTGGAGGAACTTGGAGTCCATCCTGACACCGCCTCATAGCTGCCATCCTCCCAGAATGCCACCTCCTCTGCTGCCAGTACTCTCTGCCTTCCTCCATTAGCTGTTAATACAGAACAGACAATCATTATGAGCTACAGGCATCTTTTAGTCATTATGAAACTACAGTGAAATTATTTGGCAACTTCCAGCTTAGTATGCACACATAAGACATTAAAACAAACAAACAAAACACATTAATACATTCTTACAAAAAATAAAAACTTTAATGAAAAAGAGAAAACACTTGGAAACAATTGGAAGAAAAAATAATTAAAAGCAGTTGGTAATAAATAGTAAAACATAGTTCAACAAACTCTGAGGCAGATAATTTGCTTTGATGGATTTTAATAAATCACAGTGCTTTAATCATTCAAGGAATTGTGACATCTCTAGATTAGTAATAAATCTTACCTGCTTCTTTCTTTAGCTACATCTGGATGACTGGCAGTAGATCCTGGGTGCAGCTGGAAAACATTTGTGTGCATTGTCAATACATAGCATAATTACATTATGTACATAAACAATATTGAAGCATAAAATATTAACATTCTAAAATAGTAGATACTCGCACACAGTTGCATCTCTGTCCTCAACACGGACATAAGAATGTTCCTGTAGAGTCTGATTGACACAAATGTGACTCCCATTCTGTGGAGTCTGTGGAAATAAATGTAAAATAAAAAAAATATATTGTAGCAAATATATCGTTTTCTCAAAAATACATAAGTAAATGAGTTAAAATTATTCTCAACCAACCATTATACAGTCGGGAATCAACGCAGTGACTGTACATAATACATACCGGCTTCATGGCTCCGTCCGCCATGTTGTCTATCTCTACTGCTTTCCACACTCTGCCTTGCTGCACTGCGTTATAGCAAAATAAATAAAATAAAATAACCACTTTTCCTTCCAAATATGTGAGTGTTCACTATTGACTAAATGTGAAATCATAACTTACTGAATTTCTCTTTGTCCTGGTGGACTCCGTCAGAACGCCTCGGCACCGTGGTCTGAGGCCTGGCTGCGGAGGCTCGGCCATTTTTCAGGTCTGAAAAAATAAAAGGAGATGCGAGTATTTTTAAGAGTTCAGAACATCACATGTAATAAAAAATACAATACGAAATCTCACCCTACACTTGTTTTGAGATTATGAAAACGACAGACCGCTTTCTGTAAGAAACAAACAAAGCAACTCGCCTCGCTGCACGTGCTCGCTATTCATAAAAGCTTTCTTACCGTGAGTTTGGCCTAGTTGGACCGCCGCGGTGTCATCTGTTGTTTTCCGCCGGAACATTGCTTGATATCAAAACGATACTGAAAAGATAACTCCGTGAAATAGGACTTTTTCCACCATTTCACACAACGCACGGGCATTTTCTTTCATGTTGGGTCTCGCAGTAGCACTTGTTAGCACCGGTGCAAATCTTCCTCTGGAGTTTAATGGTGGCTGCCTGACCAACTATGAAAGCGCATTACTGCCACCAACTGGACTGGAGTGTTAAATGAAACTTGACAGAAAAAAAAACATTTTAAAAAGTTATGTTTTCAAAAGTTACGTCCAGTATATTTTATTTTTATTATAATTAATTGCTAAAATGTTTTTAAATGTGTAGATGTTTATTTACTCAATTCTACTTTGAGCTTTCTCATTTTGAGTTTATACAGAATACGATTCATAATCCGTGAGTTATATTTAGTGCTTAACTAACAAAACTTTAAAAAAAGAATACAAATGTTTATACCCTATCAGAAGGTATCACATATTTTCAACCATTTTGTTCTTCAATTTAAACTTGAGAGTTAAGCAACTGAATACTGATAAATCATCTGTAGTTTCTTAAGTCCTGTATTGTGATGTGGAATGGTGTCACTACCACTCCAACATAGCATGACTCTGGGTCTTTAAAGCAATCAGTGAACATTAACATTAGTTTGAATATTATTCACAAAAATACTTTATGTACAATTAACCACTCTGGAACATGTTTTTTATTATTATTTTTGATTAAGTTGTGCAATTCCTCCCTTCACAAGATAAATCTTCAGATAGGAGGAATGTCAAAGTAAGATCACATTTCACAAAAGTCTACTGTACGTAATCATGCATATTCTTCTTTTATATCAATTCAACCAAAACTAAATTTTTCAGTGCTCCTAACACACAAGCAATATATATTTTAATGGATAAGATAGATTGTTTTAATATTCTTTCTCCAAACATACTTCTTTATGGTGAACAGAAGGTAAAAAGGGTTAGCTACAAAATAAATAAGAGTCAAAAGGCGGTGCTCAACAGTTGATTTGCATTTGCATGGCACTCAGCAACTTCATTTAAATACGAAAACCTCTGCTAGGCACAAGGGGAGGGGGGTGATAGGGGAACACGGACACACAGCATTTTTGACCATTTTTGGCAGTGCTCGACTCTGACAAAAACCTCTTGCCGAAAGCCCTCAATCTCCGTGCGCACGGCAGAACAAGGTGTCAATAGCTGCCGAAAATCCCATTTTTCGTCCTGTGATAGAGGCTCAGATCTACCACACCAGACAAAATCCAAGGTGTAGGTTGTGCAAGGAGGCCCCTGAGACAGTCCAGCACATAACAGCAGGGTGCAAGATGCTGGCAGGGAAAGCGTACATAGAACAACATAACCAAGTGATGGGCATAGTGTACAAGCACATGTGTCAAACTCAAGGCATTTTATGTACCCTCCCCCAGTGTTTTATAGGCCCATGATTGACTTAAAATAGGTTTTGAGCACGTATTGACTACAAACTACATCTCCCATAATGCATTCCGATTGTTACCAGCCAACATTACGGCTTCTCGCCACTAGAGGAGCAGCAGTCACAAAATGCTGCTTATTGATTTTCCCAGCGGAAAAAACTGAGACATCGACAAGCTAACATCATAATGTCCAAGAAAAATCGATTTACAAGTCTGTGAATGAAGATGTGCGTGAGTTGGTGTTAGGGTGGCAGGTCGAGCTAGACTTTTGTTATCCGTTATCTTGACCGACAACATTAAAAAAAAAAATAAAAAATAAAAAATCGGTCATGTACTACGTTTATCCGTGAAATTACAATCATATTAACATCGGCTATTTAGCCGCATTTTATGCGGTTTAGCTAATATTCACCGTGGATCCAGATCCCATCACAAATTAAGCAGATAAATTAATCTACATTTTTCTCCATAATGACAAAAACCACTGACTGTGGCCCCAATAACTTTTAAT